GAGTCCAGTAAGTGAATTTTGTTGTTTTTTTTTTTTTTTTTTTTTTTTTTTTAATTATACATATAATTTTTTTTATCTATTAATTAATTAGAGGCACATCTTTACGAGGCGAAAGGAGCGAATTGGACTTGTTTAGATGGATCTGCTACTATACCGTACGAAGCTATTAATGATGACTTCTGTGATTGTGCAGATGGATCTGATGAACCGGGTAATGTTTATTTATTTATTTTTTTTATTTCTTTCCATTCTAACGATTTTTTTTTGACAATTAATTTTGATTGAATGTTTAGGTACATCGGCATGCCTTAATGGTAAATTCTATTGTAGAAATGTAGGACATATTCCATCTTATATACCATCTAGCCGCGTTAATGATGGCATTTGTGGTAAATATCGAAATTTCGATAAATTCTTTTATTTCATATTATTAATTCAATTTTATTTTATATTAAAGAGCCAGAATGTTGTGATGGCTCAGATGAATATGATGGAAAAATAAAGTGTCCTAATATATGTAAAGAAGCTAGCGCAGAGTATCATAAAAAGTTAAAGGAAATAGAAAATTTGCGAGCTCAAGTATGTTCTGAATTATTTAAATTCATTTATGTTTCGTTTTAAATATTAAATATTAAACACTTTTATAAATAGGGTATACGAATAAGAAATGGTTATATAGAAGACGGTAAGAAGTTAAGGATACAACGTGAAGCTGAATTAAATCGACTAAGAACTGAACTTGAAGCCGCAAAGATTAGAGTTAGAGAACGTGAAGGTATTTTTTGTTTATAAAAATTATGTTTTAGATTATAAATAATCTAAATAAATGTTTTTTATATTGTTTCATTGGTAATTAGCGGCTTTGAAAAAGATTGAAGCTAGGAAAACGGATACGGAGCAGTCAGGGTCTAAAGGTTCCTTCGTATCTTATTTTATTTATTGAACCTTAATATTATTTTGAATGCATTTATTAATATTAATGTTGTCAATTAAATGTTTCATCTATTGATAGTCAATCGAGAGCGCATAAAGAAATACAAAGAGCGCATTTCTTCATTGAAAGAAAATATAAATAAACTTCGCGAACAAATTGATACGTTACTTTCAGTTCTCAGGGATATGAAAAACAATCATAATCAAAACTACCATGATATGGCAGTTAAAACTGCAATTAAAGCATACGATGAATTTCTGGAAGAATATACTAAAAGCAAGGAAGCAGAAAACGGAGACGAGGATGACAATGACGATGATGATGAAATAGCAGACGAAAAAGACAAACCGCAGACTCAGGAACAGAGTGGCGAGTATTTCCAATATACACTATATAAAGTAGCTATGCAAAGGAAATGCAAAACAGAAAAAATAAAATTAAAATTAAATAATAATACGTTTGTCTTATTGAATTTAATTATACGTTAAACCAGAACCTTCATATTGGGAACAATTCCTAGAGATGTTATGGGAAATTAAAGATGATGTGCTGGAGTTATTTGGATTACAAAGTTATGATAAAAGCAATCGCTCTTATAGTTCATATAGAACCTCAAAAGGTAATCCGCATAACGACCAGCATTGCATA